TTTTTTGGACAAGAGTGATGAAAATATATTAGCATAATTAAATGACTTATCCAGAAGCTAATTTTTAAGAAACTGATAATAAATCATGTTTTATGAATATAATGAATGTTTGAGGTGGAAATCTAATTTTTGAAAGAATTTAGTCTAAAATTTTCAACACTCAATAGAATATCGTAGAGCATATGATTCAAATTGATTCAAATTTCAAGTTTCTGCATTGCTTGCAAAAGTAAATGTGAAAATAAAAAAAAAAATGAAGTGAATTAACCAATTTTAATTTCGCATTAAATGATTCAAATTTTAAACATTAATTAATTTACAGAAATGCATTAAACCGAATAATTTTCAATTGCATTTCATATCTTTTGCATATAATTGCAACATTTATTAGATTTATTTCCCATTTCAATTTATACAATACAAGTATTACTTTCTATTGAAATATATATTGATTTACAACCACTGTACATACCAGCAAATGATTATAGCAATAATACATCATATGATAACTACTAAAAAGTAAGAGAAAAGAATATATGCCGTTTTATTGAGTAAATTTTCTCGTCAACTTTGATATATTTATCAAAGAAGGATTGAAATGTAAAATGAAATAGAAATAAGCGATGCATAATAGTCATATGATTGATAAATAGAATCATAACTTCGTGAACAATTAGAATAAATTAGAACGATTAGATGATAAAGAAGACTCTCACTACCGGCAAATCATATATAATTGATAAATGGATAATACAGAAGATAGTAAGGAATGAAAAGAAGATTTAGTTAATAGTCGAATATTTTTTGATTGATTTTCTGAATTTGACAAATGAAAGCAAGAAAATGTCCTTATCATTCTTCTCATTAAGTTTTTCTTATCATTGCATTACATATGTGCTAAATAGCAATTATGCTCCGAGTTTTATCATTTTTGCTTTCACATGTATCAATAATCTTCACAGGTGAAGGTCAAATGTTGCAAAACTATATAAGTGAGAATCATATGTTGTAAGAAATGTGAAGAGAAAGAAAGGGACAAATTGCAAATATCATAAGTCTTGCAATCTTTTTAACAGAAAATGCTTACAGCTAAAGTTATCCTATATGCTTAAGATAGTATCAGTAAATAAAGATGCGAGATCAATTATGACAGTATTAAATACTAAAAGAAAAGAAGAAAGAAAGAGAGAAAAACAAAAGAAAAAGAAGAAGATAGAAAAAATAAATGGAAATAATTTAATATTTAAAAAATATATAATTATATGAAATTTAAATTTTGATAATTTTTCAACATATTAATATGATAACAAATTTTTTGAAAATGAATGATAATTTTTGATGTTGAGATCAGAATTGAAAATTGTACGAAGCGATCCATTTATCATCATTATGAATTAATCGTACTGGATGAGCATTACCGAAACTATTTGATGCTACTACAACAATTTCATCGATATCATTTGCAGCATTATCAAAAATGCGTTTACTTGTTGTTACAACAGAACTCAATTCCCAGGTTGTTGAAAATTTACGCTTCCAATAAACATGATAGATATCTGCACGTGGTGTTAAATCCCAGCGTAATAATAAATCACCATCCGAATTTTGAATAGCCTTTAGGCCAGATACTGTAGCTGGTCGATTGTCTGCATTTTCCATTCGACATTGAAAAATGGAAAAAGTATATACAGCACATGCATGTGGGATAGCATTCAATTTATTCATTTGAAAGCCATCACAAAGTGGTAAACAAATGCCAGGAACTTTTTTTCGTAAACAACATGCACCTTCATCAACACCTGCTGTTGTACAAGTAAGAAATTTGCTTATTTCATCTTCACAATGGCTATTGATAAATGATTCGGCTCGTAGAGCGGCATGTTTGCCAAATTCAGAACCGCAAACTGCAACACACGGTGATCGAATTCCCAAACGTTGACAACACGTATATGGTGGTTCAGGTGGTACTGATGTTGCTGAGGTTAGTAAACGTTGTATAACTCGAATATCAGCACTGGAACTACCGAAATCATTGGTTGCAATACAACGATAAATACCAAAATCCGATTGCTTCAAGAATCTAATCTGAAGAGCAGAAACATAGTGCCGTGGATGTTCATGAGATGAAATATAATTCGTGAAGCTATACTTGTCTCCTCCAATTTTCTCGTAATAACCGGTTTTTTCGTGCATTTTCTTCCATTCAAAATGAACACTTTTATGCATGGTACCGGACATTTCCATTCGGCAAGCAATTGTTACCGATGATGCATCACTCGGAATTGAAACAGTTTCACGATATGCGACAACTCGAGGTGCTACTCCAGCTGTATAAAAGTGAACTGTTTCAGAAGGTAACGATCGGTAGCGTCCGTCACGAGTTACTGCAATAACATGCACTGAATATTTGCTATCAGCGCGTAAACTTGTAAGTGTAACCTTATAACTTCGAGTATTGATAGTCTTTTCAATGAAACCATTATCAGCTTCTTTACAGATAACTTGATATGATTCAGCAAGATTTGAATTAATTGCTGGTGGTGACCAGGAAAGAACGACACTATTCGTACTCTTCGAAACGATATGTAATGATAGAGGTGACGTGGGAATATTTAAATAGCCACGTTCAAAGCAACGAAACATTGGATGTAAATTAATGGCTAAACACGTCTGATATTTATCCCATGCTGCAATTCCATCAATACCCTCACCACGACACATACCAAAGCAAGCATTTTCATCACGATCTTTTGCTTCATTCATACAACAATGCGTATGATCACGACCATCAGCTAAGCATTCCGAGATTGCATTCATATACGGTTGACAATTCAATTTTCGTTCAAAAATATTGTAAACATCGAAATCATTTGGTGGATTTTGAAGATTACATAGCATTCGCGTACATATCTCCGTCACGCCACGTTTTCGACAACATTGTCCAACGACAACTGCGCCTACACCGTTGCAAACATTATACACGAATAGAAACAGCGACAACCACATTTGAACAATTGGGGGACAATTCTTCACACCGGGAAAGCAAACACAGGTTGGCCGACCTTTCAAGGTCTTCCGCTGATGATACCTTCTACCTTCCTTCCCCTTCCCCTCAGTTTCCTTCTCACCCTCCCCATCCCCCGTCCTCTCTCCTCTCGAGCATTCATTAACGCCCAAATCAACTCTCACCAACTACTTTTATAGACATTATTTCAAGAAAAAAAAAAAGAAAGAAAATTTTATTCTCATTGCAATTTCTATTGATACTGCTGTTATCATTCCCGCTATTAGCGTAACGTAATCAATTCTTGCATCGCTTACATTCCACTTTCGTCCATTCGTTCCATCATTTGGGAGAAACCCATAGATACCGTATCCTCTCCATACATTATTATTCATATTCCTTTCTTACTAATACATGTAATGAATTATAATATTAATCTCGATTGCTGTTATACATAACACGTATCAAACTAGGCTACGGCATACGATTAACACATACAATAGGCAGAGCAGAGGTCATAGGTTGGAATCCCAGTAGTAGTATCAATAATTAATATCTCGCTGTAACTTACGAGTGTACAAATTGGGCTTTCCTTATGATATTCAAATTCCTTATTGTTTCTTATGATAAAGTTGTCAGTGTACGGTTAAATTCTTCATTATCCGTAAACTATTTAGTCTGAAAAATGAGGGAGCAATTTATAGGAGAAATTGCAATTGCAATCTCTATGGATAATTTTACAATCATTTTTTCGTACTTTATATCTAAATGTCATTTTAACTACTAAAAGTAATAAAAATCATTAAATAAAGTAGCCTTCACATAAGCTTCTGGAATACCTTAACACCGTTTGGTTTCAAATTATACAGCTATCAGCTATCATATCAGCAAATATGTGAATGAAGCATCACTACTACCACAATCATTTTAATATTTATAGTTTAACATAGGTCAAATCGACTATTTTTTTTTTACCAATATAAATAAAAGTACATATCTTGCATATTTCATATTTCATTTCATCCTACCAATAATTACTAATAAAAGAATCTGTCTGCTTGTTTACGTAACATCTCTACAAAAGTTGTTAGAGCGATTATTTCCCGTTGGTAATTAATCCATCACCTAAGTAGGCTACTCCTTGACCCGATTTATTTACCACTTACTAAAATGAAAGTTACCGTCCTGTACCGTTCTCTCTCTTTTCATTACATTCTGTCATATCATTTCTACATTACATGATAAATCACTTGTGTAACACAAACACTACATCGATTTACACCATATCTCAGAATATTAGTCCAGAATTTTTACATTTCTGATCATTTGATCATTGAACGCTCATGATTTCTTGATGAAGATGATCATCTTCTTTTCCCTTTCAAATCCAACATTCATGATTTTATTTTACGATTGAACAACTTCCCGTACTCTAATTGTCTAATACCAAACTATGTAAATAAAAATTTATTCTTTCCTATTTAGTATGGTAGGAAGAAATTTTTCTTCAGCAGAACAATAGATTATTACACAAGGCAAATAAAATTGGAGATCGCTAAACGTGAGTATTAAAAATTGTGCCGAAGTGAAAAAAAAAAATAATAAAACGGTATTCAACATGGGGATATTTCAAAAAATAACAGAAAGAATAACAATGATTTTTACCTGACAAAAACAACATTCGGAAAAACCAAATAGGCACGAACCAATGTAAAACAATCAAAATTATTTCTTAAATGACTTACCTTTCACCCGAGCTGCAAAACTTCGCCTTTCGAAAATGGAACAACAGCTCTTTACGGACATATTTTTAACTAGGGAACGATCGGACATCCTATACAGAAACGAAATATGTATATAACATTTTAAAATTTCAAGTTACCCTAACAACAAAGATCTTGTTATTAACTGTACTAAACGGTTCCAAAAAAAAAGGATTATTTAAACACATAGCAAACATTTGTCTTAAATAGCGCACAAAACGACGCAAGAATTAAATTTATTGTACCATTTCACGATCCAAAATTAATACAATTGACTGGTAACGTGAGGTAAGTAGGGTTACATATTAAATTACATTTGATGCAGTGTGGAATAAGCAGGAGGAATAGAAATCGGACTACAACTGAGATGAATTAATCAAATACGTCGAGATGGTACATGTACTTCTAGGATGTGAGCAAATGCTTCACGATTCATCAACTTGTACGCTGTTGTCAAAATTTTTAGCGCCATCTTGTCGAAGAAAACGTAATTGGACCAAAAAATATTATGCCCAAATTCTAAACCCATTCCAAAATCCTTCTCGTCATTTGCAAACTAAAACTTACCACAAATAATGATTTTCATCAGGACTTAATTTTTTAATTTTGTAAATGGAGATTTTTGATAATGGAGGAAAAATTCGCGAACTCATTAATGTAAATCTCTCGCATTACTGGAAAATAACCTGAACAGAGCTGACGATAGTCATTATTCTCTCCAGTTTTTTCCGCTTTATGGCTTCATCACTTGCGGTAGCCGCCAAATCTATCAGTTCTTTAAGTTTCGCTGAAACAAGATCAAAACGTTAAATTCAGTAGAAAAAATCTTAAGCCGTGAATAAAATTCGAACTTTTATGCGACAACTACGATTATCGTGGTGTAACTTCATAACGACTGAATAAGAAACCTTTCTTTATGTTTAATGGTCTGTATCCAACATTGTTAACAATCTCAATGTATAATCCGATACCGTGAAATGGTACAGCAATAAATTCCTTCTTGCGCGAGTCAGCAATCATTCTCACATCAGCAATGAATGTTTTATAGTGTTCTGAAGATAAATTTCAAATTTCCAAAAAAGAAAACTATTCGTACCTTTTCTAAAAATTCCTTAACACTGACTCACCAATCCAATTTTTCGTAAAAAGCTCTCGATATTTAATTGGCAAAGTTCTTCCAACTAGAAATGCAACGATGTAGAAAGGATCAACAGCACCAATGATACGGCACTTTGGATAATGTTCAGCGTTGTTCACATGAACAATGAGCGGTTTTTCAGTATTAGGTTCATCTCTAAAAACCAAAATTGTCTCATTTGGGCAAAAATTTTAGAACCCAAATATATGATAAGCGTGATTAACACATCTTTAACCAAAGCATAATCTATGCTGAAAAACAAGACTAGTACCACCCATTTATTGTTAATAAATTTGTTAGTGTAACCACGAGTATGATTAAATTCGTCAAAGAATATATTTGAGGCGAGCCATTAAAAAAAACAACCCAATGAATTTTTCAATCCAATTTACGATTACTAAATAAATAGAAGTAATCAATTATGAACAACAATAATAACTTAGTGAGTAAAGTTGTGTAGTCACAAACAACGCAGAAAATAAATAATATACCTCCAATAAACGAATCGACCATTATTGTAAACCGCCAAAATCTGCATTTCCGGCAAGTCGGTAGGAAATCTGTCGTGCAATAAATATTTATCCACATTCTCATCTTTGAAATGTCCACCAAGATAATCGAATACTCCGCAAAGTCGCAAAGATTTTAAATCTTCATAAACAGCTGAAAAATTCAGAAAGATGAAATCGCGCATATGAATTTTTAATATCGCATAGTTCAATCGCATTTTCTGATTAATTTCGACCAAACAGTTGACAAAAAAAACATTAAAACAAAATCTGAATGGAACAAAAGATCACTTTATCATTGATTACGAGTTAAAACAATAACAAACATATGACTTGTAAATATAATAACTAATATTTATAGATAACTGATATTTATATTTTTGATATAACGCAAGGAATACTTATATTTCAGGCTAGTTTTCAAATAAAGAATGAAGATAGTAGACACTACTGAATAACAGCTGAGAATCTAGATAAAACGAAGGGATTTCAAAAAAAAAAAATGGCTTGAAGGTGCAGCATAAAAATTGTCACTAATCACTACATAATTTGATTAGAACAGCCGAACAAGCATTGTTTTGGATTGTGATGATACTTAATCCTAAATGTGATATAGCTATCCTTTTCCCTTTGCATCAGTTACTAAATACACTTACTAAATACAAAACCAAGGAATAATCTTAAAAAAATTTTTGAAAAAATATTTAGTTCAACAGCATATCCATCTTCTTTGGTCACAAAGTAGGAGAAGTGAATTCCATTTCAAACTTCATCTAAAAAAATCAAGTTAATAGTGTCTACTAATTATTTTTTAAAAGACTTCTTTTGAATGTAAACACCATTCAAGACATTACATAAGAATCTGGGAAAACTGGAAAGACGTAAATATGGAGAAGGTATACCAAAAATATACTAAGTGATTTCGGATGACAATTTTGAGTATATTTGCACATTTTTCTTTTGAAGATCAAAAAACGATATCCTAAGATTGCAGTATAAATTTCAATATTGATAAAGAATGTTATCAATTGATTTGCCGAGGCATTTTCTATAATATACAATAAGATTCCAGAGGTGCTTCTGGATACAAAAACTTGCCACATGGATCGCCGTCTTTCCCCGCTAGCATCTCAACATGTTTCCAGAAAGTGAAGAATTCCTCGGGAAAGAAGCACAGGTATTTCGTTTCCAGGTCAGATTTTAGAACATCAGACTCGAACCTAACACGTTTCGGTTTGACTCCGACTGGGCGCACAGAATGAAAAGATGATTTAATCTGAAAAAAAAAACTTATATACTTTATTTAAAACTAACACATTTCGTTTCAATTGTCCATCACGTTTGTTTTTAAATTTAAATGTTTTTACTTTCAAAATTCATTGCAAAAATTTACCACATGTATTTCGCTTGAAATTTAACATTCATGCATTTTTTACTCAAACTTGTAGAATGTTCAAAATAAATCCAAAATAACACATACAACAAAGCTAGTGCTCGCATTCATTGACTTGGTTGTATCATCGCAAGGTTGCTTACGTTTCTTGTCCATCTCTGCTATCATCACACGCTTAAATTCTTTTTTCTTATATTAATCAATACCAAAATATTACACGCAAATGCGGATTACGTTCGATTTAGTATCCACAAAATACGTTATTTCCTCGAGTAAAAAATTAAAACAACCGCCTTATACAAATCTGAGAAGTAAAACTAATTTCAAATATGAAATCATTCGGCCGCCATCTCATCACCGATGCTATACAATTATGCAATTTATGCATCCCAACAGAAAAATATGCATATTTTTAACATAATATTATATTAAAGTATATATGTAAAATAGGCTATGCATAAAATGAATTAGCTCTCTCTCTCATAAATGAAATGCATTGAGAATTTTTGAATTTAAGCAAAATAAGCAAAATGAAAATCACCTTTTAATTTAATAATTTTTGGATATATTGCCCATTTCATCAGCATTTTTTCATTCATACGTCTGGTATCGCTTCCGCTTCCGTCTATCACTACTAGACGGAATTGATAAGAAGAAAAGAATTCGATCTTGAAATTATTCCAATTGATCATTTTTTTAGCTTAACAAAATACGAAATTTGTTATAGCATAAGCAGCACTTTCATTTACTATTCCAATCATTTAGAATTAAACGCCTCTCCACATAACAATAACAATTGGATGAAGCTGTAAATTGCTTTCCTGAAAAAAAAAAAAAAAAAAANAAAATTGACCCTTAATGTTAGGACTGTATCCGATATTCAATTAAGCATTTGATTAGGAAATTTCAATGCTTCATTGAAAATTTCACGATTTCATTTTAATCATTCCATACTATCTGTTACCTCATTTTCATAACAACATTAGGAAGTAAATTTATTGTGATTATTGAAGGAATTATGTTAGTTCGAATAGGACTGAAGAAATTTTAAATTAAAAATAAATGATAAATAATGATTTAAGTTAAAATTAATGAAACAGTAGCAATGATGATGATTGCAATAATTCCAGTGATATAATAAATGATAATAAATAATGGTAATAATAATAAGTTGATAATATTAATGATAACAATATGATAATTATACAAGAAATTTTATAAGTGACAAAATTTTCACCCATATATTATTAAAATGCGTCAATTAATTTGATTGTATTTTGCACTTATTCAAAGCATTGTTTCATTATTATTCACATTAGAAAATTGCAAAATTTGATTGATGTTGTGATGGAAAATATTTATTGTTATTACATGAATAAATGAATTATTTCTTGTAAATCTTTAATCAAACTAGCAGACGTGTTGCTCTTTTTTCTTTTGATGATAATGAGAGAAAATTAAATGATCTCACATTCCGGGTAATCTTAATTGCCGGATGATACATAAGGAAGCATTAATCAATTGGCATTTATAATTAATCTATTTGAGTGATACAATTGAAACGATGGTATATGATGTATAATTATACCAAATAACATGATGTTATTAAATGAATAAATGGGTGACAATTTTAATGATTTATTCATGAAATACTTATCAGGTTATCACCGCTTCGAATACATTCATTAATTGTATTCGAAGCGGTGATATACCTTCAATTAGACATTTTTTTTTTTTTAAATGCTAAATTATGTGAAACTATTGCTTGTTGAATTTTTAAAATTTGGTTCAATAACTTTCATTCTCTATTCTCTTTCTATCCTACAAAAAACTCATTGATGATAGTAAGCTTTGTGATAGGAAGACCTTCGCGTTGCGCAATTACCAGCAAATTTCCAGAACACTTCTTCGAGATCAATTCGAAGTTTGCAATAGTACAAACCCCCTCTGATAGATATCTCTAATCATATATGAAAGGAGTAACCGGAAATATCAACAAGCAATCGAAATGATGATAAAAGGACAGCAGGATAGAAGATGTCAAGGTATGTCACTCTCGAAGTTTTCATTTAATAAATAGCCTTATCATACAATAATGCAGGGTTAAGGAGAATTTACTACCAAATATGGAAGTGAGAAAGGATAGATAACGGGGAAAGGAATGAGATTTAAGAAGGACAGAGATAGGACAAGAAATTGAAAAGAAATGAGAAGGAAAAAGGAAACGATGAAGGAGAGTGACAACAAACTGGACAATAATAAGAAAATTTAAGATGTATGGTATGGTTATAAATGACAAAAGAAGAGGGAGAGGTATCGAGAAATGAAATTTGAAGTAAAGTTTCATTGAGGAATGATATTGGTAGGAAGAAGAAGATAGGGAAGAAAAGAAAGAAAATGGAGGAAATGATTGGAATTGCTGTATTCGGGAGAGGAAAGGTTGCCCAAGTAGGAATGGAATGGAATGGAAGGGAAGGGAAAGAAAGGCGGTATTTTGCCTTATCCGGGAATAATCGAAAAGAAGAAGACGAAGCAATATACTCCTACTACTACTCCTACTACTCCGACTACTACTACT